TGCTGGCCTCTTCTCTAAAGTAACAAGTTGCGCCACGGGAGGTTTAGGCTGGATATTAGAAAAAATTTCTTCACTGCAAGAGTGATGAGGCATTGGAACAGGCTGCCGAGGGAAGTGGTGGAGTCACCATCCCTGGAGGTGTTCAAGAAATGTGTAAATGTGGTGCTTAGGGACATGGTTCAGTGAGTTAGGTGGTGTGGGTTGACGGTTGGGGACTTGATCCTTGAGGTCTTTTCCAACCTTAATGATAATGATTCTATCCTCTCTTCACTTGGACAATATATTTGGAACTGGATAAACTTTCCAGGGATCCAAATACAGACAGATACATTGAACTACGAAGAAAACATATTGGTTACTTTTATTCTTCTTAATGGGATTTATGGGGATGACACAGGCTGCCCTTACGATAATCAATCCTCTGTGAGAGAGCGCAGTCAGTAAATATACAAAAGACATTTCAGAGTTACTTCCACACATCTAATTCCTTTCACAGAAATGCAGTCCTAGAAAGAAATTTAAAATATAAATGTAAAAGACGGGCTGTCTAAAGACTATGAAGAACTGAAAAAAAACCAAAAAACCTCAATATTTTGAATAAAATCCAGTCTACCTTCTCAGGCTTGTATGTGCTATAAATTCAACATATACCAGAAACAATTGTTAAAGAGGGAAGAGGGGAAAAAAGAAATTAAGAGTAATGATCCAAATAGCAGACAAACAATTTTAGCTCTGGCATTTTCTAGCCTTTTCATAGCCTTTTCATTATGATTTTACAACCTAGAAAATGTTTGTTTGTTTGTTTGTTTGCTTGCTTGTCTAAGTAGCTTTGTGTATAAATTATGAAAGTAGAGATTCCATTATGTGGCATCCTGCAACATTCTCCAGCCCATCAGCAAGGAAGAGACCTTCAGATCCACCACACAGATCTTTGCTGCCTAAGCTAATGCAGTAATATATAGAACCATAGAATCATAGAATGGTTTGGGTTGGAAGGGACCTTAAAGATCGCCTAGTTCCAACCCCCCTGCCATGGGCAGGGACACTTCCCACTAGACCAGGTTGCTCAAAGCTTCATCCAGCCTGGCCTTGAACACCTCCAGGGATGGGGCATCCACAGCTTCCCTGGGCAACCTGCCAGTGTTTCACCACCTCACTGTAAAAAGTTTCTTCCTCTAAATCTGCCCTCTTTCAGCTTACAGCTGTGACCCCCTGTCCTATCACTACACCCCCTGATAAAGAGTGCCTCCCCATCCCTCCTGTAGGCCCCCTTTAAGTACTGGAAGGCTGCTATTAGGTCTCCTCTGAACCTTCTCTTCTCCAGGTTGAACAACCCCAACTCTTTCAGCCTGTCCTCATATGGGAGGTGCTCCAGCCCTCTAATAATTTTTGGGGCCCTCCTCTGGACTTGCTCCAGGTCCATGTCTTTCCTGTGCTGAGGACTCCAGAGCTTCATGCAAGTGGGGTCTCACAAGAGCGGAGCATACAGACAAGTCTGTGAATCTTGCTTCCAGGTGGATGTCCTTGAAACAGGACTCCTTTGGACTCCCTCTGGCCAGCTGCCATTATGACAGCTGCCAGCTGTCCATGGTGTTGCAATGTAGTCTGTCTTTCTGTGGTTATCAGGCTGCTCACCACCTCTTGACATTGTCATTTAGCACCCACCACTCATCACCTTGAGAAATTAGAAGCAGAACTGTTAAAGGAAATTCAGGGAGAATCTGCCATTGACTGTAGATCAGGCTTTGAGTACACATCTCTCCAAAGAAGAAGTTTGAGTTAGAAGTGACAGATATGAGAGGATGGAAAAGGCTCAGTGAAGACAGAGTTGGGCTATTTTAGCTGCTTAGTAGAACCATGTCACTTCTCAGTATGCACATATTGAGAGATTTCAATCCCCCCCACTCATAACTCATGTCATTTAGATGTATTATTGTAAGAACATCATAAAACACAATAACCCTTGACAAATTTCCCTGACAAATTTCAAATCCCTTTTTTAAACTAATGAGAACACTAAAGCATTTCAAAGAAAAATCAATAATTTCTTTGATATGAGGAAATGAAACAGTTTTCCATGAAACATGAACTAGCTTCCCAGTATTTTTTACATAAAAGAAAGAAAAGAATAGCTTTTACTAAATCCTCCTCAGCAGTCGGTTTCAAGGATGAAACTAGTGGGGTTGTTAGTTGTGGCTCATCCAGTTAGTCCTGTGGTCTCCTTCCCACAGGATCACACATCCAACAAAAGCAGCTCCGTATCCTGATCCCCCTGGTCCTACACCCTCCCATTCACCAGTAGAGCATGTTGGGCTGGGAGCAACAGGAATGGGAGGCTATCAGACAGGAAGGACTAAGAAACGGCTCAGCCAGATGCATACTTGCTGGGGAGGCCTCTCTGCCAGAAGCATTTTTAGCCATACACATTCAGGACAGATAGTAGTTTTAAACACTGTGTAATGGGACAGTATCATGAATTTTATCTACAGAAATAATGAAATAACAATAAATATTAACAATATATATTAACATAGCTATGAAGTAATTCACTTACATGCAAGCCACATGTATTAGACTCTCAGGTAGCCACAAAGTCATATTACTCTCTCCTTTACTCCAGATTTTCCCATATTTTTAATTCCTCAAATTCTCCATCATTCTAGTAAAAACCTGCACAGAACTCAGTTTCAGAAGCTATATTCATAACCAATGCCTAAATTAAGCTTGTACATATAGCTCTGCAAGACTGGGTTACTTAATTATATTTTTTTGCAAGTATAAACCTTTTTTATTGCAAACATATGTTATTGAATGAAATTATCTTGTCATGGTAACTAATTGGTAAGTGTTTCATGTTTTTTTTTTTTTCTTTTATTTCAGAACAACCATTTCTCTGACTTTTTGGACAAAAAAACTGGTTATACAACAATCAATATGTTGGCAACCCCAATTATGCAGGGTAAAGAGGTGCTTGCTGTTGTGATGGCACTCAACAAATTAAATGCCACCGAGTTCTCAAAAGAGGATGAAGAGGTAATAACTTCAAATGACATAACAACAGGGCAGTTGTTAATTCCAAGTAGTCTGAGTGAATCTGCCTCTTAAGTTGACACTTTTGTCTTATTTTTGCTCTTTGTCATTTTTAGGTCTTTAAAAAATACCTCAATTTTATATCTTTGGTCCTAAGAAATCATCATATGACATATCTCTACAATATTGAATCTCGAAGAAGTCAGGTATGTAAGAATTTCTTAATGATAATAGTTCGTTTTCATGTGAAACCATTATTATTCACACTATTTTATATTCTTGCAAACTTATTGAAGTAAGGATAGCATCTATTTAATTTTGTTATTTGATAATAGTAACGCACCATATAATTTTATTCTGGAATGCCTAGGATTCATATGTTTTTGTTTGTTTTCTTACTGTTGTGAACATTTACCCTCTTTCTCTTTTGTTGCAAATAGATGCTTTTGTGGTCGGCCAACAAAGTATTTGAAGAGCTAACAGATATAGAACGTCAGTTTCACAAAGCACTGTATACTATTCGAATGTACTTGAATTGTGAAAGATATTCTGTTGGTCTGCTGGACATGACTAAAGAGAAGGTAACAATAATTTTGCCTACTTGCTAGAAATGTGCCACTCCTACCTTTAAATTATAAAATGCATCCTTCTAATTCATTTGTTCTGCATATTTCTAGTGTATGTCTCTCCAAGACACAAAGTTACCATGCTTTCTAACCCTTTGGGACAGTTGATATAAAATCTAATCATGTTACAAAAATTACAGGCAAAATGTAAGCATGGCAAAGGATACAAACATGATAAAGGCTAATTCTGAAATAATTTTTCATATTATTAATTCTATACGAGAAAGGGTAGAAGAGAGAAGTGCAGGTCAGATTATTGCTTTATAAATACCTGCCTTCTAAAACAACAATTAACCTGTACAACCATTAAGAGATAAACTTAAGACTATTCTGCAATTTACTGGCAAATATTTGCCTGGAATATTTTTAACAATGTTTTCTTAATATTGTCTGAAATGAGACCATAGTACAGCTATGGAGAAGGAAAAAAAATTGCTATCCACAGATGTCATGTTATCTATGAACACAGAACTTATTTTTTTTTTCCCTTTTGCTAAACCCTGTGTATCATTTTCTTAGGAGTTCTATGATGAGTGGCCAATCCGGCTGGGGGAGGCAGAGCCTTACAAAGGCCCCAAGACACCTGATGGACGAGTGAGGATATTAATTTTTCTTTTTATGAATCTTAATTTTGACATTGAGGTTGTGCAGGTCACCTAAATGTTTTTCTCTTTTTATTTAGGAAGTCAACTTTTATAAGATTATTGACTATATTTTACATGGAAAGGAAGAAATCAAAGTAATTCCGTAAGTATTCATTGGCAGCCTGTGAATGTGTGGTAATTACATATATTGCTGGGATAGAATAATAACATGTCTGTATTGTAGAAATAATTTAATTTCGTTCTCTCTTTAAAGGTCACCTCCAGCAGATCACTGGTGTCTTGTCAGTGGATTACCAACATATGTTGCTGAAAATGGATTTGTAAGTTCATAGCAAAAGTAAAACTAAAAGTGTCAGTGTGTGTACTTCTTCTGATTGAACAAAAAAAAGCCCAAACCTCCCTATGACTAAAACCCTCTACAAAAATAATGTGCTACTTGCAGTGTAGTTGGCTCACAGTGAAACCATGTGAATCAGTAGTCTGAATGGAGACAAGCCTTCAGCACAAACAGCCAAAACATCAGGAAAGTTTCCCTCTATAATGTGGTGACATTGGAGGTATAATGTGTGCATCTGATGTCACTTTCCACGTCTGCTAACTAGCTCTCACAACAAAATGTCAAAGTAAGAAAATCATCATATACACAGTTTCAAAATTTTCATTTTTTTCTTATCTCTTCTTGTGTAGACAATATACGTAATTCAAAGATGTGATATATGACAGTTACTAGTAATCCTATAACATTTTTAATAGCAGTAAGGACAGAGCCCTTAGTACTCAGTTATTTCTTTCTATAAACCCCCACGCCATATTAAACTAGAAGTTATTTTCTTAACCATTATGCTTATGCACTGTGAGACATCACACGAGGGACTTTGCTACAAGCACTCCAGAATGATGTCTATTAGAATAATCATATCTAATTTAATAGGAACAGTTTTAATTTCTGTAGGTAGCTAGGGTGGTCACTGTTTTTAGCTTAGAAAATAAAAATGCCTTTTTAAAATATCAGGCCAAATCTTGGTGCGCATTGTATTCTATTTAAACAATGTCTCCTTTTCTTATGCTGCAGATTTGTAACATGATGAATGCACCAGCAGACGAATATTTCACATTTCAGGTAACTGCAGCAGTGTTAATAATTATAGATATTGTAGAAAAATATGCTAATGCTTTCCAACAACTAGTTATAAAGTTGATTACATAAATAATTTCTCCTTTGTTAGTGATGCATGGGTCTTAGTTTTACATTGCCTATATCAATAGCTGTATTACTGCTTTCAAAGAATACACAACAGTTCCTGTTCTTTGGCTTTCCTACAGAAAGGACCAGTGGACGAGACCGGATGGGTTATCAAAAATGTCCTATCACTGCCTATTGTCAATAAAAAAGAAGAAATTGTGGGAGTTGCAACATTCTACAATAGGAAAGATGGAAAACCTTTTGACGAGTATGATGAACAGATCATTGAAGTAAGCTTGATAGGATTAGGGGCTTTAAGGAGCCATATGATGTTAACAAAAATATTATTGTAAAAAGTAATTTTAAAATCTCTAAAAATTTTCAAATAGGGTATATTACCATCTAACCAAATGTCTGTCTTCCTCACGATATGGTTTCTTAAGAATAAGAAATGTTATTTCCCCTTACAAACCTGAAAATATATGAGAGATCATTTACATTCCAATAATGAACAAAAAATTTTATTTTTAATTATTTGACTTTTTAGTGATGGTCCATATTTCCTAATTAGCAGTGGTTAAGCAGGTATGCTATGCTGCTTGCCAACAGATACCATGCCTGTGATCGTGGGAGTTCCCAGGGCATCCATGATGACATGCTCTTGGGCAAGATGAGATGCTACACAGTGTATCCAAGTCCACGCAGCTACCTTAAGCTTCATAAGCCCCATATACAAAATGGGAATATGGGCCCTTAATTACTAGGCTGAAACAAACTACACCATTAAAAGCTGTGAGGTGCTAAGAGAACCTGTTGGTGGAAAGTAAAAGCTTCTAACAAGTAAAGTTACACATTGCTTTTCAAAGGGCACTGCCAGAAACTGGAGTTTAAGAGAAGTAAATTGAAATTGTCAGTTTAATTTTATTGTCATGATGTCATCTTCACTTTGCTTGGCTTTGTTCCAGACTCTCACACAGTTCCTGGGGTGGTCTGTTTTAAATACTGACACTTATGACAAAATGAACAAGCTTGAAAACAGGAAAGACATTGCTCAGGAAATGCTTATGTACCAGACAAAAGCCACCCCTGCTGAAGTTGAATCTATACTGGTAAGTTTCTGTCCACAGTCACAAAATCAAAGTAGGAAATTTGCTACATGAAACCTGAATTTCTTACTCATTTTCATTTTTAGAAATACAAGGAGAAATTAAATGTAAAGAGCATAGAAGAATGTGATCAAAAAGATCTTATCAGGATTTTGGTAAGTCATTAAACTGAAAATTCTGGTAGTATGTTTGTATCAGATAGTAATGTGTCCTCATTATAGAATAAGTTATGTATAGCAAAATCCTGATTAATACAATTTATTTTAGCTATCAGTTCCACAAGTTGGATGGAGTTGATTTAATAATACATTAGCAACCTCTTCAGTTCAACATGCAGACCCCACTGTTACCTTCACGGAAACATTCCGTCCCAAGTATGTGTCAACAGACTTGCATAGTCAGAGTTATACTGAAACATTTATACAAATTAACATTCAAAGTGTTTAACTTCTTTAAATATCTACGGGGACAGTGCTGTACCCATAACTGAATTTATTTAATTTTGAAAATAAAAGAAGGGACGTTGATGTAAGGTCACTTTCATTCTGAGTAAGAGAACACATGCAGGAGCGTCCAGTGGAACTAACCTACTTTCAGATTAATTTTCCTGCATTTCCTTAGGCACAGAAGTCCAAAGACAGTAATCAGTGACTTCACAGTGACAAAACAGATTTGACCTAATCAGTTAAATCTCTGCTACTACTAAAACAAAAATGAGTCACTTTCTTTCCAGACTGTGCAGTCCTCCAGCTGCCTTATTATTTCAGTCTAGAAAGGGAGTACCTTTTTGGAGGAAAACTCCTGTTTGTGCTCACTACTGCACTTCATTATTTCTTTTGGAGCACTCCTGGAGCACATGCACTGGCTTACTTTATCTGAAACAAAACTCAAGGATGTGCTCCAGGAAAACACTGAATGAACTCCCACTGTTAATGGATCAAAACAGAGCTAGGCTGAAGAAAAAAGGATAAATACAAACAAATCTGTTGACTTCCAGTATCAACCTCTTCATATATTTCCTCCTATTACACTACATTTGCTAATGGAGAC